TATTTAAATATTTATATTTGTATATATAACTTAGCAACTTAGATATATAATTTTAAGTAGTATTATGCTAAATATTTACTATATAAATAAAAATAATAAATTAACTTTTATATATTTTGCATAAAAATATTTTTAGGAATTATAATAGACAAATGCTTTTAAGAATTTTTGTTAACCTTTTATCTAATTCTTTTTTTTAATTACAATTAATGTATTAAGGAGACATATTATTATCAAATTATTCATTATAAATAGAAGTTGAATTACAATAATCATATTATTATAAGAGTATGGTAAAATTAAGTTCGACGAGAGATTTGATGTTTTTAAGTTGATATAAACAAATATTTTTTTAAAATTTTAATTCTTATACATATATTATTACATGTATATTTAGGAATTATTTTTCCTAAGCTAGATAATTCTTTATGTTTTTTATTACTTAATTAATTACTGTATTTTTCTTATACAGTGACTTGCCAAATTATACTACAATATTTTTCTTAAAAACATGCAAAATCAAATATAATTGGACTACTTTTATCTTTTTTTACAAATATTTTTAAAAATGTTTATCTATACATATTTTAAAGACATATAATTATTATTTTTTATTCATAAAAATTATAACGAGGATATACAAAAACTTTTAAGACTTTGTTATTGATATTTCTCTAAGGACATGTAGTTGAATTGTCATTTGTTTCGATAGAAGCTACAATAGAAACCTTTTATTTTTTAATTAGTTCAATAAGCTGGATGATGTCCTTACCAGGCCACTTGTTCCATCTCCTTAATTTATTCCTTTGTCTTCAAGCTGGGAGTAATGAGTAATTCATTGGGTTAATTAAGTAGTGCTGCACATACAATATGAATCAATTTTGTTGCCGAACATACTATTAGATTTAGGGTTGTATACCGTATGGTGGCCGAAATGCCCGAATACCCGAGATCGTTGACCGTATAGTGGCCGAAACGCCAATGGCAAGTTTCAGGCCGAGTTGGATCGCCGGGGGCGAGTTGCTGACGACCTGGCTCTGAAGGTCCAACGTCTTGAGTTGGCCTTGAAGACCGAGGCGAAGAAGGTTGCTATACTGGGCAAGGGGTTGGATGCTGAGAAGATTGCCTTCGGGGCCTATAGGGAAAAGGTACGCAACAAGGTCCTCTCTCAGCATCAGGTTGGGTTTGCCCAGGCGGCTCAGCAGGCATGCTTCTTCGGCGACTTCCCCCCTGAATTTCATCTTGATATGACAAAGGATTTCTTCCAAGGTAAGTTGGTGGACTTGACCTCCATCCCTCCAGACCAACAAGTCGGCGAGGAAGCTCTAGCACGGCCAACTGGGCCGAACGAGGAGGAGACGACGTACGAGGAAGGTGCGTCTGAGGACGGCCCGGTTCAGGGGGAACCGGAGGTGGCGTCTTAAGCTTTTCTTGCGTTGTTCTTTTTTGCAATGATGGGCCGATAGTGCCCTTTTAATGTACTTTTTTGGGCCGATAGTGCCCTGTTAATGAACTTGAAATTCGTTTGTTGCCGTATAAATTTAAGAGTGTACACTAATTTAAAAAATTGTTTCTCCCACGTTTGGAATCCTGGAAAGGGTGACAGATACTTAAAAGCCAAACACACCTTAATGCATATAAATTTATTAACTAATGGCCAGGAATAGAATAGATCTTTGGATAAAATAATTGTTATAAAGAATTATTTGTAATTTTGATTCATGTGCCTTGTTGATAATCCAAAATCATTTTCTATTCCATCCCTTTCTCTTACATTTCATTTCATCAATTCTACAAAGTTTCAAACATAAAACCCAACGTTGGTATGACAAATAAGATTTAAGCTGCACTGGCAGCAAATCAAAATTGCAAAAATGAATTCACTGATAGTCTAACAAGAAGCTTATATGCACAGGCACAGCCTAGTGATTCCCTGCACCATTTCAAAGCATGCAAAAGAACAATACAATAATTGCATAAGGAGAACAACAAAATAACCTCTATCCATCTATGTCATGTCCTACCTCAACTTCATACACCATCAAACTTCATTCTTCTTTAGACTCTGGTACAGTAGTTCTCAACAGTCATGCAATCATCCATGTCAAGTGCCGGTAGTCGGCCCACTTGGTAGCAACTCGCAAACCAATAGCTAAAGCTGCAAGAAGAAGTGGAATTGGAAGCCTCATCTCTCTTGTTTCAACTTCTCCAACTTCTTTCCCTTCAGAAAGACTTTTGGAATACTGATAAATGGCTAAGG